CCAGCATACCTAGTGGGCTGGACAGTGGGTTTTGAGTTCGCATTCGGTTTCTTTAACAGTCCCTTGCGGTCCCGGGGTGGTCCCATTGCATTAATTGCATCATTCCCGAGTCATATTTGCATGTTCGCCTCATATTTATTGAATTTTCATCACGGTTGTTGATTTGTAATTTATCGACACGTTTTTGGTATAGTTTAGATATCTAATCATGTAATAATAAATATAAATGAGAATGACAAAAGAAATGATAAATGACATAGTGAAAAAATAAATCAAACTTGCATTTAGTTAGTAATTGCATTTTAGAGAGAGGTTTAATTAATGTTTCATTTTATGTTATTTCGTTTGATACTTCATTATCTCATTTAGCTTTAGGAGACATGCATTCCTTAATTTAGGGCATTTGCAAATTTAATTATCAGCACAACTTACGAAGGTCCTATCCCGAGGCTTGAGGCTCAACAATAAGACGATGTATATTCTTTACCCAACTTGTATCGGATTTTCTTATTGCACTTTAATTGATTTTGATATTGTCGTACTTTACTTGGTATGATGTCATTTTGATGGTTAAGGCACTTGTATTGTGTTATACGACTTTGATAATGTGTGGTCATCTAGATGTGTGTGCTTAGGATTTTAAAATTTGAAAAGATCGCATGATTAAATGCTTTCAAGAAAGAGAAAAAGGTACTAAATTAGGTGGTAGATAGACATTTAGCGTAAATAAGTCCCTGGGCGTGAGTCTCTAGTTTGCAAAAGTAAAACGATATTCCGCATTTTACTTGTCGTCTAACTAGCTTTTAATAGATTAGTGGCAGCTCTTAAATTAAAAATAACATTGCATAATTAATTAAGGAAACCAAGTTGCATTTGGCTGGCTTTGGGAGAACTCGGGCCAACAACTAGCACTACCTCATGAGAGGGATCGTTTGTGCTTACTTGGTAATCCGTTAACCATCTCAAGATCTCTTCTCAAGAGGGTGACAAGTCTCCCTCAATAGGGGCATCAATCAAGATGCGAAAAAGCTCATGGCTGGGTCTGGTAACGTTATGCATGGCATAACTCACAAGATCATAAACATTCAATCAGTTCATTTCACGATAATTTTGTTAGATCAATTTGACTCAACTCAGTTCCATAAACATTCAATCACATAAAAGCAACATTCACATTCCAATAAATCGAGATAATATGAACAATCATTCATTTATCACACAATGATGATCCATATGACAAAAGGAAGTGGATAATGCCACATGGCAATTTAAAGCACATTAATTTCCCGCCCGTCAGGCATAACTTTTCATATAATTATAAAATCAACCAAACATCAAATTTGACAGATTTGATATCTCACTTAAATAGTCATTTATCGTAACTTTGAACGTCAAATTTTCACATTTTAGACCATTCCACAACAATATAAACTTAGCCAATTTGAATACCTTGGTTATTGAGGTGATTAATCAAACTTTAAACCAAGAATTTCACTTACCAAACTTCCGAGCACAAGCTGTAAACACCAAGCACAGCAAGCTAACCCCCAAATTGCACCACCCAAGACAAATATTATCGTTAAATTAGACCAACTAAGCTTGATTCAAGCTACCAACCAACCTAGAACAATCTCAGAACCTTGAAAGGAGCTTACCACCAGGTTTCTAGCCTCCAAGGTAATTCAGCCTTCAAAATTCATCCAGAAACGAACGCCCACATGCAACACCTTCAAGAGCCCTAATTCCACCATTTTTATTAGTCCAATTGAGTCTTTGGCTTAGGCAACACTTAGGACTTGTCTTAAATGTCCCACCCTCCAACCAGGAAGTAATGGGCGCTCCAAAAGCAAGTTCCATTCCACTGGACTTCAAGTTTCACCGCAATTCTTCACAAGCTAAAACATAGTTTTAAAAGACAACCTTTAGTACTGCGGAATTCCGAAAATGGCAAATAAATTTCCACTAAGAGGTTGCGAAAATTGCCTCAAGTGCAAGAATATGCCATGAGCAACATTTTCATCTGGTGCGGCGTCTTCATTACCTTCAATTAGAAAAAAATTGGTGAAGATTTGACAAAGTTCCAAACAAAAAGCATGGTTTCTCTCTTAAAAATAGGTCGTCGGCCACAGCTCCCCTTCTTTTCTTTATAATCCGTGAGCTTGCACGTGGATTGGTGATATTAACATTTGCATAGTATTGCCTTAATTTTGGGGTCATCATTTTCTTTTTCGACAATCCCTTATTTGATGGACAATCCTTATGAAAGCAAGAAAAGGGGAAAATGACACTACAAGTACAATAATTTTCATACGGCGCTCACTTGAATGTCATAGCTTTTTTTTTTCGATCATTTGAGTGCCGTGATATCTAAACAACATTCACTTAAGTACCATAACTTTTTAAAAAATGTTCATCATAAGTGCCGAAAATCCGACTTTGCACGGTACTTGTGAATGTTTTATAAATGTTACGGCACTTAAGTGATCAATTGAAAGTTATATGAACGTTTTTAAAAGTAATCATACTCAAATGAACATTTTTCAAAAATTGTGACATTTAAGTGATCAAAAAAAGAGTTATGACCCTAAAGCAAGTATACCGTAAGGAGTAGAGTTGAGTGCCAAAACTTTGTCCTTGTTTCTTCGTTGAACAAACTTTCTTTAAGTATACCATAAGGAGCAAAGTTGTTTAATGCCACGACCAATGGATCCAAACTATTAGGGAAAGTATCAAGCAATAAACACGCCTCCAACTCTCATCACCAAGATCAATTTCCACATTTTTCAACTGATTTACAATATCTTAAAATTGACTCAAGTGCTCAGACATGCTACTCCTTTTCTTATATCTCAAATTTACAAGTCTCTTAACTAAAAATGCTTTATCTTGTGAGATCCTCCTCTCACAAAGATCTTGTAATTTCTTCCACAATATTTCAGCATTTGTTTCTTGAGCAACATGATATAAAACATTATCATCAATCCATTGTCGAACAAAACCAACCGTTTTCCTATTAATTCGCTCCCATTCTTTATCTTCCTTGTCTCATTTAGCTTCATCCCCATTGTTCATACGAATTTTTACAGTACAATATGTCTTCAATCCGAGGCTTCCAAATAGAATAGGTTGAGGCATTTAACTTAAACATGGTGCTGTTGGTTTCCTCCATCAACGCTAGCTTTGATACCACTTTGTTAGGGAAAGATGACAACAATTCACTGAGAACTTAAAATTATCCAGGATCAATATCTTTCCCAAAACTCAACCAACCAATATCAAATCAACCTCAACAGGAACTAGTTGCAATATTCCAACAATGTCAACCCCAAACCAGTAAATATAGTGCTGAAAATTAAAGACAAAGTAGAAAGCAACACCTAAAAATTTTAGGTAGAAAATCCAATGTGGAAAAAACCACAAGGCGACTTAAAAACTTCCACAAATCATGTGCTGGGCCTGTGAGGCGGACCTAGCCCATCACCCTGTGCACGTTAAATGAGATCCAACGTGTCCTTGAATTCAATTTTCTCTGCAAGTCTCCGCTTGCGGAACAAAAGAAGGGAAAACTCCAACTCAGTTGACTTGACTGACTTATGGTACGAGCAACGTAAATGACTTGTATAATCAAAGTCTTGCAATGGGGGCTCGCCCTGCACCATTCACATGTACATTTACTTGAATTGCGGGGGTAGACTTATGGTAGATACATAGCCAAAGTTCTAATTTGACACTACCCTATATCAGTGTCTTCTGTATATCTCTTCTTAGCCATCCAATCATCAAAACATGAATTCTTGCTTCACCATTCACCTCTCTCTCATCTTCTTCTTCTTCTTCAATTTTCTCAGCATTTGCACTCACACTACTGAAGCTGCACCAATTTATTTATGGCATTACTACCCAAACACCACCCTCTTCACTCCCAACTTCACCTACCAAACAAATCTCAACACCCTCCTCTCTTCCCCCTCCTCCGCCACGGCCACTAATGTCGACGGCTTCACCAATACCACCACCAACATAAACCAACTTGACTGCACCTATGGGCTATTCCTCTGCCGTGGTGACGTCCACGCCACCACATGTGGCAACTACATAGCGAATGCAAGCAAGGAAATACTCTGTGCATGCCCTAATGAGGAAGACTCCATCTCTTGGTAAGACGAGTGCATGTTGCATTACTCAAACTAATCAATTTTCTCCGTTGAACAAGAAAAGTCTCGCCTTCGTATCATGAAGGGAAAATTACACAAAAAAATCTTAAACCTATTGCACTTATGTCAATTCAATCATAAACCTTTCAATTTGATTAATTTAGTCCTAAATCTTTTGGTAATTTGCTAACTAAGTCCTTATGGCCAAAGTTGGCCAAAAATTACTGATGTTGACGCTAGTCGTTCTACATGACATGACCCGAGCTAACATAGATAATTTTTAATTTTTTAAATTTAAATTTTTTTTGTATTTTTAAATTTTTTTTCCTTTTCTTTTCTTTTTTTCTTTGTGGTTGGCAACATTGGGTGAGGGCCCTCGCTGGTCGAAAAGACCTTGCCCAAGCAAGGGCTGCCTCGCCTGCTGCTGGCGGGGCTGCGAAGGCCCCGGGTGAGGCCATCAAGGCCTCGCTGGCTACAAGGGTGGGAGTGAATGCCTTCGCCAGATTTGGTCGAGGGCCATGATCGTTGCCAATAGTCAGCAAGGGCTTGTTGGCCCTTGCCCAGTGGCCAGTGAGGGTCACTGGCAACCTTTATGTGCCAAAATGAAATAAAAAAAGAAATAAAGAATAAAGAATAAAAAAAAAATCAATTTTTTTGTCCATATCAGCGCTAGCTGTGCTACGAAGGACGGTTAACGTTCACATCAGTAATTTCCGACCAAAAATTGGCCGAAAGGACTCAATAATTGCTTAAACATTTAAGACTAAATTGCCCAAATTGAAAGGTTCAAGACTAAATTAACACAAGTACAATAGGTTTATAACTTTTTGATAATTTTCCCTATTCATGAATGTGGTCAACATCCCAAAACCAAAGGACACGACTAATGAATTGGCCAAGAGAATGGCAACCGATGGGTCTGGCAGACTTGATGGCGGCGGATTACAAGTCAAGGACGTCGACATCACGAGGTTGAAGCGGTTATACACGTCCATACAGTGGATGACAGACTTGATGGTGATGGATTGCAAGTGGCTACCGGTAATCTTCCAAGCGATAAGGCAAAATGGAGAGTCTTGCACTTTACAAGTTCTATAATGAGACTATCATCTACAAAGCATTGGCACCAGCACCACAACCGACACTGGAACTTGGCAGCTCCTCAAAACTACCATATATCAAACCTAAATACAAAGTGATAACACTTGGAGATGCATATTCTAGCAAACTCTTTAGTAATAATTCTATCATCAATTTTAAGGTGAAATCTAGTTGCACACGAAATTTGAGATATCCTTTGATGAAGTGCTAGAGAACAAAATGCACCGAATTCCTTATGAAATCTCTATAGCATCAAAGCCAACAATAGAACAATCATTTTGTACCATAATGGTAGCAAGAGAATGGACCAAACTGTGCACTTTAATTAATAACACCGATTCGGACTCCTCAACCGCTGGATCAAAGATATCTTCCACAACTTTTTGCCATACTCAACACCATCTTCGAATGCTAATTTGTCCCTTGTTGAACTAATGAGTCCTAAAGCTCCATAACCTAGCTATATTAGAGCCAACGATTACATATCCTTGGGAAAAAGTGAATGCAGCCTAAAAACATTTTATATGGGATGATAAGTGGTCATCGCTAAGCTTAAATAGCAGCATAATGTTCTTTTACGAATCAACTAACTTCCATGTTTCGCTGTCTCTTACACGTGCTCAATACCATTCTTTGTCCTTCGTGTAAAGTAGATTCCCAAAGTTTACACAAGGAGAGGAACTCCTTGAGATTTTTTGACAATGTCATTTCAAATCTCAAGGAGATCACGACATGATTGCTTTTCCTTTTCATCAAATGCCCACTATTTAAGCAAGGCTATAGAATTTTCATGAGAAGAACGTTTTAGATTATGCAAAAGATGAAAACTCAATATAGAAGCGACTTTTGTACTGCATGTGAATCTAGAACTAACTCATAAAAGGCGCTTCTTGATAGAATGATACAGTTCAGAATTGGAAATCCAATGTTAAACGTGTCTAATGAAAAAAAAAATAAAGATGGGTGGTCTCCTAGAGACAAAACCGTGGGGTCAATATAAGATGGATTAAAGTGAGTAATATCTCGAGTGAATTAGATTAGAGAGTGTCACAACAAACCTAGAAAAAAAATCATTTTCATTTTCTTTTCCAATAAAAAAGATGTTACTTGAGTGAAACGTTTTCGGAGGGTCTGGTCCTTCCTTAGGCCGTGTTGCATAAAATCGTATGATTCAAATTGAATCTATCAGAAGTATTCCTCTGATTGCCATAATTTGATGGAAAATTCAAAGCTATAAGCGTCACCAAAATTACTTCCATCCCCATCTCTCTCTGTCTCTCTCTACGACGACATCCCCGGGATATGTATGTTGACTTTTCTTCTTCCAGCCTCCCCGCGTTGGAGTCAAGGATGAGTGCAACTGCCGCAATTGACTTTGGTTAATCAACATCGTACGAGGGCAAATGCTACTTTCCATCCTCACCGTCCATCTTACTCGTCTTGACACCTGGATACTGATGGCCCAACTAACCCCAACTCTTGTCGATTTAACGTTATTTAATGGACTTTAGGGTTCCTTAACTCTAAGGAAAATCTCACGCCGGTTTTTCTTGACTTGTAAAGATCTCTTCTGACCTTCCCGAAGAAACAAAAACTATCCAATGGCTTTGCATGATTTAAACTATCTATTGTAATATTAACATGCAAAATATCGGATTTTGCAATTTAAGTCAATATAAAATCACCTGAGAAATAAATAATAAATAATAAAGAACACCAAAGATTCACGTGATTCGATTTGAATATCGGTACCTATAATTACGGGGAGAGCCAACAACGAATAATCTATCATAATCGGAGAATCAAAGCTTCAATCAGTCACACACTCGAGTGTTTCTCACACCTAAATTAAGCACAAATTCAATGTATTTACAAATATAAAACTCACGGTACAAATCACCGTGTGTTCAAGCCAAAGCAAAAGCTTTCCGTGCGGCAGCTTGCTCACTTTGCTTGAAGGAATCCCACGACGACAAGGCACTGTGCGGCACTTTTTTTCACTGCACGGCTTATCAGGAAAAAGAAACACACTGTACGTGATTGTTGAAGATGCCCAAATCTCAGTCAACCGATCAAACTTGGATGGAAGATCACACCACCTTATCTCTTCTGCTGGATCTTGAGATTATATATATATATATATCCATTATAATCCAAGATAATTATATGTAAAAGGCAACACCAAATTTTGAACAAGTCAAAATCTTCCAACGAGTATGAGAATCATATACGAATCAAACTCGACATATAATTTAACACTACTAATAAATTTTATGACTTTTAAAAATGTCCTGTGGAAAAAATATTTCATATTTTAAATGTTCATGGTAGAATAGGTCTTGAGTTTGTAAAGGAAACCGGATTCAATTAAGTTTCCTTATTCGAGTAAGTTTTCTAGTTTGAGTAGATTATTAAAAGGAGTTTTCTATGTTGGATGCAAATACCATGTATATATAGGAAATAGAATTCTACTCAATGTACACAAACTAGAGCAAACAAGAAGAATCTTAGAATTTTTATCTGTAAGTTTTCTATAAGAGATTGTGAGAAATACTTGTGGGTTTGTTTTGGGTGTAATTAGAGGTTGGGAACACTTGAGAGATATTGAGCAATAGTAAACTTTGTGCTCTTCATATTCATCATGGATTTCTTTGGCAACTAGTTCTCCTCATAAAGTAGGTACCTACACTTGGACCAAATCAAGGAAATCTCGTGTCATTAACATTTCCTGTTGATTTCTCTAGTAATTTCGCTCTCTCACATTTGACTTAAATTACAAGATCTGGTAGCTTTTGTGTTATTTTTACGACAATTGTCTCATAGCTAAGACTAGGATTTCTATATTTGATTTGGGGTTTTTGCTTGTCTAATCATTGTCTAGAAATTTTGTTGTTGCAATTATCTCTTGAGAGAAAGTAGAAGTTGAGAAGTTTAACGGCAAGATCAACTTTGGGTTGTGGAGCATTAAGATTCGTGCGCTATTAACAACCCAAGGTTTAGCGAAGACGTTGAATGGCAAAGATGAATTGTCATAAATGATTAAAGAGGTTATAAGGTAGAGATGACGGAGAAATCAAAGAGTATAACCCTATTGAATAAATCGAATGAGGTGTTAATCGAAGTAGCCAAGAAGAAGAATGACGTAGCTTTGTAGGCAAAAATTCATGCCCTTTGTGTAACGAAGGGTTGAAATAATCATCTATATATGCTGAAGAGGTTTGTTTAAAATTCGATTTGCTAAAGGTGCTTCCATCCAAACCAATATAGATGAGCTCAACAAACTCATGATGAATTTGAAGAACGTCGATGAAACCCTAATTAATGAAAAATAAGGCATAATGTTGTTAGCGTCTTTACTAGAATCGTGGGAGCACTTTACAATTCAATGTTACAAGGGCATACTATGATTACCTCAGAAGAGGTAAAATCAGCCTTGTTTTGCAAGCAGTAGTTGAAGAAGTTGCGAGATCATGATCTGGGACAAGATGTAGCACAGGGACTCGAGATTCGAGGTAGAGATGAACATTGGAGGTCTGGTAGTAGAGATAAAACTAGGTCGAAGTTGTGCCATAGAATGAACAAGGGTCACGTGAAGTGATTGTCCATAGTTGAGAAACATGGATGCTATGTAAAATGACACAAGCAGTGTGGCAAATATTGCTGAGGAGGGAACTGGTGGACTTTGCTCTATCCCTAGATTCCCAAATTCTTCTTTTGTTTGAGCACAAGATTAAAGAAGAGAATGCTGATTTTATAATTGACAGTAGTTTTAGAAGTTGGAGTTATACTCATAACTATATGTACAGCAACTTGGGTAGAATATGGATCCTATGAAAACTGTCCACGCTTAGTCTAACCATTTTGGAGGTATCTGCCCAAGTCATACATTGTCTCATTGAAAAACCTAGGGTGGAACCTTTTTTGCTATCTGCCATCTATGGGTACAATACCGAAGTTGAGCGGAGGCTTCTTTGGCGCAATATTTCAAATTTTTCTTCCGGACAAACAAGAGACCCGCCTTGGTTGTTAATGGGGGATTTCAATGAAACAAGGGACACAAGCGAAAGGATTGGCTCGACTGTTCGTTGGACTGCAGGTATGGAGGAACTAAATACCATGATTGAAGAACTTGCACTTATTGAACCTCCGTCTACGGGACCTTTCTTCACATGGACAAACAAAAGCATGGGAGATAATTTCAAAGCGAGCAAAATTGGCAGAGTCTTGATTAATGCATAATGGCAGAACAAATACAACCACTATTCAGTAGAATTCCTGCTTCCAGGAGTTTCAGACCACTCCCCATGCTTGGTGCGACTTCACACCACATATAGGAGAAGGAAACCTTCTTTCAAATTCTTTAATTTCTGGACCACTAGCCCAGGTTTCCTGCCTTTGGTGTCCACTTGCTGGCAATAGGTTATCAGAGGATCTAGAATGTTCATAGCGGTGGCAAAGCTCAAAGCACTGAAACAACAACTCAAGGGACTGAATAGATCTCAGTTTGGTGACTTACACTTAAAGGTCAAACAAGCTAAGGAGAACCTAAAACAACTTCAACAAGAGCTTGTGATTGACCCCTTTAATCCCATTACTCGGGCGGAAGAAAAGGCGCAGCTGGAGGAGTTACTTGTTCTTAGTAGACATGAAGAGGTTTTGCTTAAGCAGAAATCTAGAAATCTATGGCTGAAGGAGGGTGACAATAATAGTAAGGTTTTCTTTGCCTCCATGATGCAGAGGAGTGCCTAGAACAGGATCATTCATATCAAACTCGAGGATGGCTCTACTATTACCGAGGAGGGTGCTCTCAAGAATGCAATTATAACGTATTATCAGCATCTCCTTGGAAATCCCAGTCTTACTAGCATTCCATATGAGAGATATGCTTCTTTATTTCATGAAGATATCAATACTCTTGTTACCTTTCCTGTAGTTCAGAGATCAGAAATCCTCAGAGTCTTAAAAGGTTTCAATGACTTTAAAGCTCCGGGTCCAGATGGCTTTAATAGTCTATTCTACAAAAGCGCTTGGCACATCATAGGGAAAGACATTGAGGAAGCTATCATGGAATTCTTCTCGTCAAAAAGAATGCTGAAGTCTATAAATTCCACGTTGATTACACTCGTACCGAAGGTTCAGAATCCATCTTTCCTCAAGGAGTTCAGACCCATTTCTTGCTGCAATGTCATATACAAGATCATATCTAAGCTTGTTGCAGAACGGATTAGGTGCATGCTTCCGAAGATTGTCGGCTTCAACCAAACTGCTTTCATCAGCGGACGACAGATCTCGGAGAATATTCTGCTATGCCAAGACCTTCTACACAACTACCACAAGGGAGGAAATGGTAAACGGGTGGCAATAAAGATTGACCTCATGAAAGCCTTTGACATGGTAAAATGGGATGCAGTCCTCGGGGTTCTCAAAGCTATAAATACTCCTCACGACTGGATTGCTCTGATAGCTGAATGCATTACTACTCCGACATTTTCAGTGAACTTCAATGGTGAGCAAGTTGGCTATTTTAAGAGTACGAATGGGCTGCGACAAGGAGATCCACTTTCTCCATACCTTTTTGTAATGGTTATGGAAATCTTTAACAGAATTATTCATGCGAAAGTTGCTGCTTCTTCTTTCAAGTATCACTGGCATTGCAAAACGCAACGAATCACACACGTATGCTTCGCAGACGACTTGTTATTATTTTCCCATGGAGATGTAGATTCCGTCCTTTGCCTTGTAGATGCCTATTTGCAACTCTCACTGGACTGCGTTTCCACCCGGACAAATGTCAAATCTTTTTCTCTGGGTTGAATGAGGATGAGAAGCATCTTATACTGGACTACACGCCTTTTTCTACAGGTACCCTCCCCATCAGATACTTGGGTATCCCCCTTGTTACCAGAAGACTTACCCACATAGACTGTAAGAGTCTTACAGATAAGATCTTCAAGAAAATTGAAAATTGGGGCATGAAGCATATCAGTTATGCAGGGTGTCTACAGTTAGCCAAATCAGTCCTCATCTCCATATGCACCTATTGGATGCAAATGTTCCTACTTCCAAAGCACACTATATACGAGGTTAAGAAGAGGATTAGACAATTCTTATAGGCTGGTAATTCAGCAAACCATGGCTGGCACAAGGTTGCATGGCAAGTAGTATGCTCACCTAAAAGCGAAGGAGGATTAGGATTGCCTAATTTGAACTTATGGAACAAAGTATTGCTAGGTCGCATGCTGTGGAATCTTATCAATCTTCCATCACCTTCCCTTTGGAGTACTTGGGTTCACAACACCAAATGCAGAGGCACCCCAATTATGCAGCTCGACATCAAGGGCAATATGGCTTGGAGCTGGAGATGTCTCCTCAAACTGCGACCCATTCTAACATCGATTATATCGAGCCCAAAATACTGTTGCCAAGATATATATGATGAACTCAGACATGTGAGACCAGCTGTAGAGTGGTATAACCTAATTTGGACCAGCGGCATTAGCAAACACAATTTTATTGGTTGGCTAGTTTGCAGAGATAGACTACCTATAGCAAGAATCGTCGCACAATGGATACCTTCAGTTGATATTCAGTGTAATTTCTGTAGGGCTGGTATTGAAGATAGAACACATTTATTTTTCGAGTGTGAATGGACAAACAACATATGGCGTTGTATCCTAGCACAACATGGGATCAGGCGCCTTTTAGGAGGATGGAATGAAGAACTTCAATGGATGATTAGGGCAACAAAAGGCAAAGACTTGGCAGCAAGACTCCTCAAGTTGTCCTTTCTAGCAACCATATATTACATTTGGATGGAGCGCAACAGCAGACGGTTTCAAAACAAGTCAACTGACTTTCATATTCTTTTGGCTAAGGTTCGTAAAAAAGTCAGAGGTAGAGCTTCGCTCTACCAAAAAATTAGACCTTCCCAGACAAATGTTGTATTAGCTACTATATGGAGACTTCCTACCTCCATATTTTTCAATTATTAGCACTTTTTGTAATGCTGGGGGATGCCCCTAAGCTGCTGTACTTAATATGGTTTATAATACTTACATTCACACCAAAAAAAAAATATTGCCAAGGAGAGCACTAACGATGTGAAGACTATCTTGTGCGTGATACTAGCTCGTCAGGAGACCAATGGGTGCTAGATTTAGGGTGTTCTTATCATATGACACCTCATGAGAACTAGTTCACTACTAGCCGGACTGAGACTAATGGTAGAGTTCTGATGGTGAATAACACAGCCTATAAGGTTGTGGGTATAATAACAACTCAAAATCGGATGCATGATGGGTAGACTGTATACTACAAACATAAGGCATATACTTGAACTCAAGAAGAACCTTATTTCTCTATAGACTATTGATGATATCGGTTATAAGTAACATTACTAAAGATGAAGTGCTGATGATTTGTCGGTGCGCCATGACAATAATGAAGGGGAAAAAGGTGAGTTCTCTCTATCAAATACTAGGAGAAATCGTGACAAGATTTGTTTTAGTTTTATTAGGTGAGTCAGACTCAAAATTGACTTAGTTATGATATATGCGGTCGGGGCACATGATTGAGGCAACTATGATGGCACTGAGTGACAGGGGGTTGTCGAAAGGTCAAAAAACATGAAAGCTGGACCTATGTGAGCACGACACATTTGGGAAGTAGTGCTAAGTCACAGTATAGCTGTGCATTAGATGAACCAACCAATTGATTACATTAGTTCAATTGCTAGGGCCATCTTCGGTGTCTTCGAAAGAAGGAGCCCGATATATGCTGACATTCATCGACGATTATTCAAGAAACGTCTGAGTATATGTTCTGAAGCACAAATCCCAGTTGTTCGATCAATTCAAGAAGTTTAAGTGATAATGATTTTTACTGCATCCTACCAAAAGAAGGAATTATGAGACACCTCAACATACCTAAGACACCACAGCAGAATGCCATCGCAAGACGTAGAAATAAAACTATACTTGAGTGAGCTTGGTGCATGCTTTCATGTGCAAGACTAGGCAAGGTATTTTGGGCCGAAGTAATGAAAATGACTATTGAGTGGAAACTCCTGAGGAAGTATGGTTAGGGAAATCTATAGATTACTCCGGATTATGACTATACAAATGTCTTGCATATGCTCATGCTAGTAACGGTAAGCTTGTGCCGAGGACGAAGGAGTGTATATTTCTAGGTTATGCATATGGAGTGAAAGGCTACCAGCTATTGTATATTGATCCTTGATTACTACTTTTCTAGTCAGCAAAGATGTGATCTCTACAAGACTGCTATGCTTCGTTAGATGAATATTGAGACACTACCAGTAGAGCAAACGGATCACGGTGTCAATAATGAGATGGAGCTTCAGGTAGAGGCTTTTACAATGAATGAGACTGTAATTGAGGCCACAATTCATGAAGTCGGTGATATAAAATAATTAGCAAAGCCACAACATAGTATGGCCGCTAGCAGATTGGAAAGGCACATCTACCAGCACATTATGGTTATATCAATATTGCTGATATATTGCTTATGCAATGACTGTGGTGACAAGATAGAGATGGATGAACAATCGTCTTACTCTGAGGTGATGGCAAGTGCCGAGTCATCGCAGTGACTAGGAGATGGAATCACTCCATCAAAATCAGACACAAGAGTTGATCAAAGTATCCAATAGCCATAAGATTGTTGGGTGCAAATAAGTCTAACAACGAAAGTAGAGCATTCCCAATGTCGAGGTAGTGAGGTATAAGATAAGACTTGTTGCAAAGGGATATACTTAGTGGTAGAGCATTTATTACAACAAGATGTTCTATCCTATGGTAAGGCATATTTTTATTTGAGTGTTACTTGCTTTAGTTGTTAAACAATAACTCGATGTAAAAACAACATTTCTTTACAGTGAGATGGAGAAGCGGATTTACACGAGGCAATTAAAGGGGTATGCTATTCAAGATAAGGAAGACCATGTTTATTTATTAAAGAAATATATGTATGGACTGAAAGAGTCTCTAAGGCGGTGGTATAAGTATTTTGATGCTTTCATGTATAATTATGACTATTTGAAAAGTCAATTGGATAGTTGTGTTTACTTTAGGAAATTAAAGGATTTAGTCTTTGTCTTATCTATTATTTTATGTTGATCATCTGTTGATAGAAGCTAAACATACGTCAGATATTGATATGTCGAAGTGACAATTGAGTGCTAAGTTTGAGATGAAAGATTTAGGTGCTGCAAGATGATATTGGGCATGGAGATTCAGCGAGATAAGGCTATAGGGGTTTGTTCCTATCTCAAAAGAAATATATTAAAAAGATTGCGGTGCGTTTTAGCATGCAGTCAGCAAAATTTGTGAGTGCACCTTTAACCGTGCACTTTAAATTGTCTAATAAGTTATCACCACATAATATGGACCAAGAGGAGCATATGTTCCTATGTCCGTTACTCTAGTGCAGTGAATAGTATTATCTACACCATGTTATGCACTACGCATGATATTTTACAAGTTGTGAGCATTGTTAGTTGTTAGATGAAGCGTTGTATTAAGACTCATTATGAAATTGTGAAGTGGATCCTCGGTTGTTTAAAGGGGACAATAGATGTTGGTATAGTGTATTGGAAGGACGGCAATGACAGTGTGGCCAGGGGTTATGTGGATTTGGATTACGTTCATGACTTGGATGAGAAGGTCTTCAATGGGGTACATGTATGCGCTGATAGGTGGTGCAATGAGTTGGAAGGCATCCTTACCAGATAATGTTGGTCTGTCTTCGACTACCACAAAGTATATGCACCAACCTTTATAGCAAAAAGGGCGTCATGATTGGGGGGTTTGTTCTTGAACATTGGGTTGGAGCAGAAAAGTGTTGCTATACACTATGACAACCAAGGTGGGATATCTGGCTTTGAATCCGATTTATCTCGAGCAAATAAAGCATATCAACATCAAGTACCATTTCATCCAAGATTTCACGGCAAAGGACAAGGTTGTTGTGAAGAAGATCGCAACAGTGAAGGACCGAACAAACAAAATGACGATTCAACTAAATTTCAAAGAAGATCGCAACTGTGGAGAATCAAGCTTTGCTAGAGCTCAATTAGGGTTCAAAGAAAATGAGCACCCGTCAGAGCATTAGGAGAGCCAACATGGATGATAATCAGTACGACTTGGTTACAAATATTGAGCCAAGGTGGAGATTTGTCAGCATATGTTATGAGTTACTCAAGGAACCGATTCAAGTAAGTTTTCTAATTTGGGTAGGTTTCTTAGTGTCACGCCCCAACCCTTGAGCACGCGACAACCCCTATTTCACTTAGGTAAATAGAATGCGATGTCCCAAGACTCATCGCCAACCTTTCATTTTATCTTTCATATACGCATGTGGAAGCGACAAGAATCGCCCAATCATAACAATAAATAGCACGGATAGTAATAACAATCAACATCAATCATGCCTAAGCTCCATTTTATTTATTCACTTGATTAACCCCAAGGAAACACATTGACAAGCCCTTCAAGTAAGGCACCTTTCCTCACAAGCCTACCAAAACGATATTGGGCTGGGGTCAATCTACTCTATCCAAAAGTGAGTCATCCAAAAAGAACAGGTCCAAGGCATGTCCCTCAAGTACTATCAAAATCGCGAGACTGCTAGTCAAAATAGGGTGAGTCAGGATCATGCTCTAACGGGTTGTAATCCGATAGGTACTCAGGATCAAGGTTGGTCTCGGGACACTCCACTGACCCGTCAAGTGGGTCAATGTCCATAGGGTCCCAGACCTCCTGTCCAAAGCCCCCATCTGGAGGACCATCGAAGCCCCTCAGAGGGCCGAATAGATTCTCGCCCTCACAGATGAACCATGCCTGGAATTGATGAGGGACCCACATAGCTAGACCCTCATCCATTCACTCAGTGTATAGGTGGCGCTAAAAAATATGCGGCTTGCCAAGAAAACGATGAGTAGTAACAATACTATCCATATCCTGCGGCACCCCAAATCGCCTCAGGTGGTTCGCCACTCTAAGGCACTAGAAAACAGTTAACAACAACGAATGAGATATAAATCTCAGTAAGTTAACGACCTAAGCTTCATTTAGGAAGTAAACTCGCCTTAGGTGCACCTAAAATATGTAGCAATAAATTGATGGCAGATCAATAACAAAGTGACCCTTGCTTTGCCTTAACTATATACAGGAGTAGGCAATTCAATCCAACATAAACAAATAACCCATTGAATAACAACAAGCATATCTACCTTGCCTTGGCACACACCCTGCACGACATAAGCCATCACATGCCACAAACAATGCAATAAGCATATAACATAATCAGAACACTTAACAAGATTCCACATACACAATGCACTCATGCGTATTCTAATTATTACGACCACTTAGGGCCACGGTACAACCCAAGGGTTGGCGGTCTTCCAGCATAATCGAGCATCGTCCCACCCCATCGGGCAAGACAACGTCTAGGACCTCCACCACAGACGGCATTCCATAAAGGAGCATCGATCCGGCCTCAACCGCAACTTAGCATCCGAACCCCCATCGGGCATCAGATAAAAGGAAAAATCGGGCATCGTCCCCAAACTCCCGTTGGGTGATGGGTTCCTTTATGTGACCATATGAGCACACCTACCACTCAAGCCCATTTTATTTCTCAACGATTAGCCAATGCAGACGTGGTTGTGCTCACAGATCAAAATACTACAACTTTCATGTCAAAAAATGCAATAATAAATTCGCACGTGATCACATACACACAATTAAACCGTCAAATTTTGCATGTTTCCCTTTTTAAACATCCCTGCCCTATTTAACTTATAAAACTTGACATATGAACCCGACACCTCGGGATTTACTATTTACAGGTCCACAAAAACCCTTTTAAAAAAATAACTAACAAGGTTTCACATAGGACAATTATTTTTCAGGGTAAAGCAGGCATTAAACAGCATGAAATGGCATAATTCACACTTAATTCAAGCAGAAAACACCCATATAATATCCACTTATTGCCCTAATTGCGATAACTTATCATCCTATTAATGATAGCTTATCGCCCCTTGGTAATAGCTTATCATTAAATTAATCGATAGCTTATCACTCAAATACCGATAGCTTATTGTCCATTTGACGATATCTTATCACCCTTTTGTCGATAGCTTATCGTCATTTCCTCGACAGCTCATCAAGTCCACTTATCACCTATCGCTATATCTTATCACTTCCGCCTATCACTTATCGCGATAGCCTGTCAACTAATCCCTCATTAATTAGCACCAAGCATAATTAACTTAGTCTAATATAACCCTAATCAAGTTTAACGTACTAATTAAGGGATTAAAGCGTTAGCTCACTCGTTAACGATGCCGGTTGTGCGAGAACGACGGCGGTGGCACGAACAATGAGCGGCTCCGCTTGGAAATGGCAAGGGGCTGTGGCAGCTCACGGCGAGGAGTGAGGAGGTTGGCGGTGGTGGCTTGGACAAGCGGCACAGGCGATGGACAGCACACGGACGGTGGTGAGGATGGCTCAAAGTGGCGGCGGCAGCGGGAGGCGGTGGTGATGCACGGCGGTAAGGGAGCGGCAACGATGAAAAATCAAGAGGAAAATATGAAGAACAAGAGAGAAAATGAGAGACAGAATGAAGAGAGGAGGGGACAGTGCAAGAGAGGGCAAGGAGAGAGAGTGAGTGAGAGAAAATGAGAGATATTTCTCTCTAGAAGGGCTTCTTCTTCAAGCCAAGTTCAAGTCCCCAAAAATTCATCATTTCTCCTCATTAATATCCAAGACTTTTCACTCCTCTTTTGTCACTTCTCATCTAATGCAAGAAGGGAAAAATGGTCTTTTCACAAAGTACAGTATAAAATACTATACGCATATATGGGCTAGAATTTTGTACGGGCTCGTATAAATCAAGTTTGGGCTTAAAAGGATAGAGAATGGGCTAGAATGGCTCATGGGCTTGACTGGGCCCATTTGGGCTTGGTTGGGCCCAAGGTGGCCGAACCTCAATGGGCTTGAGGCCCATTGGGCCTTCATCCGGCCCACTCCTTCGTGGGCTCCAATTCTCGGCTCGTTGACCCCTTTTCCGAAAATTTCGTGCATACCACTAAACAGGTGGTTTAATGAGGTGACGTCTAATAGTTTAGTCTTGAAGTCCTTGAAAGTTTGATACTCAAATTCGGATTCTAATTCATGATCAAAATGGATCAATTGCGATTTTAGTATATCTCAGACTAACGGGCGGTTTTTAGGAGTTACGCATAGTCGACCCGCGGTTGATTTGATATCAATCCACGTTGAAGCTTTCTCGAGTCATGGGTGACCTCAGTTGTCATGTAATTGCGAGGAGTCAATCACTAGTTCCGAAGTACACGATTATTAGGAATTGGTGTAGGGTCGTTTGCAATCCATATAATGGTCAGGCGGAATTACCCGCAATTCGATTGTATACTATTAGCGAATTATTATATAACCGTTCCTTGATCGGACTATAATAGCTCAAAATTGTCCCCCGTCAATCCTTATGGTCGAATTGTCAATCCATGATCGAGTTTTCAGGTCGTATGTACTTAATTCCTTAATAGCCTTTCCCTATTGATTAGTCATCTTATGAGTGATCAATTCAGAGCGAGATTCAACTAACAGTGCATCGATGAATATAATCATTTCATTACATCCTGAATGGGTCGAAATTTGAGAATGTCACACTTAGTTTGAGTGATTTCCTAGTTTGACAATGTTTCCTAGAAGGAGTTTCTTCTTTTGGATATAAATCATGTATATATAAAAGATGTAATTCTACTCGGTGGACATAAACATTAGAGTAAATAAGAAGATTGTTAAGATTTTATGTCTCAAATTTTTCTGTGTGATTTCTTTGTAAGAGATTGTGCACTAACACTTGTACATTTGTTTTGGGTGTAATTGGGGGTTGAGAAATTTTAGCTATCGAGTGATTGTAAGCTCTGTACTCAAATTCATAGTGGATTTTTGTTGGCAAGCTCTCCTATAGAATAGATATTGACACTTGGATTGAATCATGTGTATATCCGGTGTCATTACCATTCCTCGCTAATTTCTTTGATAATTTTGTTCTCTCGCTTTTGACTTAAATTACATGATTCGTTGGTTTCCGCATCATTTTTACAACATTTCAAAACTCAACCCCCGAATTTCGATTTCACCTTCCAAGCTTTCAGTTGTGCAGTTGAAGCTAACTTCGATTGCATTTTTCCTATAATAAGTGACCATAAAATTGCTCCGATTTCACTTTGGTGCCCCTAGTCTAGTCATTATTTTATGTCATCCATCATTTACATATCATCGTGTAGACTACATGGTGCACAACAAGTTATCGCGTAGGCTTAATCTAATAGGTTGTATCAATCCTACGTTAAGAAACAGTAAGAACAGCGGGTCCCAAAACAAATACTTGCCACCTGCCTTTAATAGAAAAAGTCTATATTCCAATATTTCTCTTCGATATTATTAGCAATGCACTCTGATGAACAGAATTTGTTATCTGTCAATTTCCAATTCATTAGATTACTACTGTGATTCCACTAAGCAGGACCTTGCTTGCAATTGTAGCCGTTGGATTACCACCAATTGAACATCTGACAAAGAAAAATATTGGCAATCCAACGGGTATAATTATTAAGGATATAATAGGCTAACCCCATATTTTAGATCGCTTTCACTATCACAATTTTTTTTTCGCAATTTTTTACCAGATTTGGCGG